TAACAACTGTTAGCTTGGGTCTAGCCTCAGTTTCTCCACTTAAAAATCTGCATGCAAAACCCCTTTCAGCATCTCAGTTGCGCTGCCATCATCTGTCTGTTTCAGAACTGGGGGAGGGGGAGAAGTACCCCATGAGCTGATTTGCTCTGATTATATGACATTTCCTTCTGGTAGAGGAATTCCTAAACTCTCATGAAAAGGGCTGGTCATGAGGAATCACTGAAGACACCACATTCACAGCAAAAAAAAGGGTCACATGTTTATACCAGCTACCATATACTGAGCACTTACTATGTACCAGCTACTGTTGATCTTCACATGCTATGAGGTAGGTATCATTAGTATTTTCAACTTGTGGATGAGGAAACTGAGGCACAGGGAGAATAACTGACTTGCTCAAGCTCAGGGAGCTAGGAACTGGGTCTGGGGTTCAAGTCCCGGCAGCCTGTGCTCTGAGACCCCGCATGGTGCAGCCTCCTGGGGTCTGGAGACCCACCTGGGAGTTATCAGCTCCTGGGCGGTCACTAGAGGTGTGGGTCTCAACCCTCGTAGCTCACTGGGATCACAGGAGAGCTTTAAACACGGAGGCCTGAGTCCCACCCCAGAGATCCGTTATATTTAATTGCTCCTGGAAATCTGAGGCTACCCGGGTGAGACCCCACTATTTCAGGAGCTCCAATGCCAGGAGCTATAAGCTAAAGCAAAGACCTGGACCGGAGTATTCACTGGCATATGATCTTGGGCCAGTTTCATCTTCCTGGTCCTCAGGTTTAAGATAGGGGACTTTTCATTCAGTAGAGCCAGGGGTCAAAGGTCTAGAAGGCCACAGGTCTCAGACATCTTTGGGTGCATTTTAGAGGAAGCACTAAGAATTACATAATGCTCAAAAACTCTTAAGTTTAGCAAAGAAAGGAGAAAAATATTGGGCCTTTAAAAAAACGATCTGGTCTGGACCTGCTGCAAAATGTAAAGGGTTTAGGAAAGAAGTGATTTCATATTAACTGACATTAACGTTGTCAGGGAAATTGGTTTCTCTGGATTGTAACTTGTCACTAGGGAAGCACCTGTTTGACTGCAAGGAACAAAAACCGAATCTCTGCAGAAGCTTTGCCTTCCTTTCCAAGGCAAAAGGAAGAAGGAAAATGCACCATGGCTGGAAAGCATTTTGAGCCCTGAAGGTGAGGTAGGAGGCTCTGGGTGATGGTGATGGAGGGCCCGGTGTTAGCCTCTGGATCAGCCCCCAGTCAGCCTCAGCTGACACTGGCACAGGTGAGTGATAGTTCTGAGCTCCATTTTAACCTTGGGAGCTTTATAGGCAGAAGAAAATGAACAGAAAGGAAAGCCCAGGATTTGCTGAGCAATGAGAAAGGATTGTTTCACCATAGTAGTTAAAGTTCTTTTGTAGGCAGGATTTATATTGGGTGACCTGGGTTAGAGTCACAAACTCAAAGGCTCTCCAGAGCCATCAGGAAATAGAAATGAATGGACTCGGCACCTAGAATGGGAATGAACCCAATCACAGTCCCCGGGCCACTGAAGGTGGCTGATGCCACGTAGATCTCACTGATACCGTCATTAGGGAATGAGGACCTGGTCTTTCAAGATGTTTCAATTTCTCAAGAGAAGTCAGAATACAAACCCAGAGCCAACATCATACTAAATGGGCAAAAGCTGGAAGCATTCCCCTTGAAAACCAGCACAAGACGGCTGGGTGCGGTGGCTCACGCCTGTAATCCCAGCACTTTGGGAGGCTGAGGTGGGTGGATCACAAGGTCAGGAGATCGAGACCATCCTGGCTAACAGGGTGAAACCCCGTCTTTACTAAAAATAGAAAAATTAGCCGGGTGTGATGGCGGGCGCCTGTAGTCCCAGCTACTCGGGAGAATGGCGTGAACCCAGGAGGCAGAGCTTACAGTGAGCCAAGATTGTGCCACTGCACTCCAGCCTGGGCAACAGAGCCAGACTCTGTCTCAAAAAAAAAAAAAAAAAAAAAAAAGAAAAAGAAAAAAGAACAAAAAGAAAATCAGCACAAGACAAGGATGCCTTCTCTCACCACTCCTATTAGACACAGTATTGGAAATTCTGGCCAGGGCAATCAGGCAACAGAAAGAAATAAAGGACATCCGAGTAGGAAGAAAGGAAGTCAAACTCCCCTGTTTGCAGATGAGATGGTCCTACATCTAGAATGCCCTATTGTCTGAGCCCAAAAGCTTCTTAAGCTGATAAACAACTTCAGCAAAGTCTCAGGATACAAAATCAGTGTACAAAAATCACTGGCACTCTCATACACCAACAATAGTCAAGTCAAGAGCCAAATCAGGAACGAACTCCCATTCACAATGGCCACAAAAAGAATAAAATACCTAGGGATAAAGCTAACTAGGGAGGTGAAAGATCTCTACAAGGAGAGCTATAAGCTACTGCTCAAAAAAAATCAGAGATGACACAAACAAATGGAAAAACATTCCATGCTCATGGATAGGAAGAATCAATATCATTAAAATGGCCCTACTGCCCAAAGCAATTTATAGATTCAATGCTATTCCTATTAAACTACCACTGACATTTTTCACAGTACTAGACAAAACTATTCTATAAATCATATGGAACCAAAAAAGAGCCCGAATAGCCAAGGGAATCCTAAGCAAAAAGAATAAAGCTGGAGGCATCAGCTACCCTACTTAAAGCTATTGTACAGGGCTATAGTAACCAAAACAGTATGGTACTGGAACAAAAACAGACACATAGGCCAATGGAACAGAACAGAGAACCCAGAAATAGGACCACACACCTACAACTATCTGATACTCAGCAAACCTGACAAAAACAAACAATGAGGAAATGATTCCCTATTCAATAAATGGTGCTGGGGGCTGGGCGTGGTGGCTTATGCCTGTAATCCCAGCACTTTGGGAGGCTGAGGCAGGTGGATCACTTGAGGTCAGGAGTTCGAGAACAGCCTGGCCAACATGGCGAAACCCCATCTCTACTAAAAATACAAAAATTACCCAGGCATGGTGATGGGCACCTGTAATCCTAGCTACTTGGGAGGCTGAGGCAGGAGAATTGCTTGAACCCGGGAAGCGGAGGTTGCAGTGAGCCGAGATCGTGCCATTGTACTCCAGCCTGGACAAGAGAGCAAGACTCTGTCTCGAAAAGTAAATAAGTAAATAAATGATGCTAGGATAATTGGCTGTTCATATGCAGAAGATTAAAACTGAATCCCTTCCTTATACCATATACATAAATTAACTCAAGATGGATTAAAGACTTATATGTGAAACCCAAAACTATAAAAACCCTAGAAGACGACCTAGGCAATACCATTCATGACATACACACGGGAAAGGATTTCATGATGAAGATACCAAAAGCAATTGCAACAAAAGCAAAAATTGACAAGTGGGATCTAATTTAACTAAAGGGCTTCTGCACAGCAAAAGAAACTATCAACAGAGTAAACAGACAACCTACCGAATGGGAGAAAATTTTTACAAACTACTCATCTGACAAAGGTCTAATATCTATAAGGAACTTAAACAAATTTACAAGAAAAAAACAACCCCATAAAAAAGTGGGCAGAGGATGTGAACAGATAGTTTTCAAAAGAAGACATACAGGAGGCCAACAATCACACACAAAAGAGTTCCGCATCACTGATCATTAGAGAAATGCAAATCAAACCCACAATGAGATACCACCTCATACCAGTCAGAATGGCTATTACTAAAAAGTCAAAAATAACAGATGCTGGCAAGGTTGCGGAGAAAAAGGAACACTTATACACTGTTGGTGGGAGTGTAAATTAGTTCAGCCATTGTGGAAGACAGCGTGGCGATTCCTCAAAGACCTGAAGACAGAACTACCATTTGACCCAGCAATCCCATTAGTGGGTATATACCCAAAGGAATATAAATCATTCTATTATAAAGACACATGCACACGTATGTTCAGTGCAGCACTATTTACAATAGCAAAGACATGGAATCAACCTAAATGCCCAATAATAGTCTGGATAAAGAAAATGTGGTACATATATACCATGGAATACTATGCAGCCATAAAAAAAGAAAGAGATCATGTCTTCTGCTGGGACATGGATGGAACTGGAGACCATTATCCTTAGCAAACGAATGCAGAACAGAAAACCAAATGCCAAATGTTCTCACTTATAAGTGGGAGCTAAATGATGAGAACACATGGACACACAGGGGCCTGTTGGAGGGTGGAAGGTGGGAGGAGGGAGAAGATCAGGAAAAATAACTAATGGGTACTGGTTTAATACCTGGGTGATGACAGAATCTGAAGAACAGACACCCATGACCCAAGCTCACCTATGTAACAAACCTGCATATGTGCCCCTGAACTTAAAAGTTAGAAAAATGTAAATTAAAAAAAGAGAAGTCAGAATATCAGGTTTCATGTGAAATCTCTGTATTCTTAAATGTTAGCTACAATCATTTTACTGGTGTGGGCTGAACCATCCCTGTCTGGGTTGGCGCCTCCCCCAGGTGTTTGAGGATAGTACGGGGTGCCCTCTTCTGGCTGCTCTCAGCCCCCACTGCCTCCAGCCCAGCTGCCCCTGCTCAGTTAGTGGAACCTGTGGGCAACTGCAAGAGAAAGACAAGGTGGAACCAGCCAGAATGTGGGAGTCCCTGGTGCAGTTAGGAAGGCTCGCACTCAGTGCTGGATAGTAAGAGAAACCTGTGGAACCTCAGCCCTCCCATCCCCTTCCCTGCTTCCCTCTTCTTTGTAGTACTTATCTCCTTAGTTTATCGCAATTTACTTATTTTGCTGGTCTCTCCCTTCTAGAATGTTAAATCTGAGACGGCAGGGAGTTTTCACTAATTTTTGTTCACTGTTGTATTCCCAGTGCTTCACATACAGTGGACACTGAAAGCTTTGTGGAATGCATGAATGACTCTGGGACATTAGGGATTGTTCAGGTCACAAGACAGCCAATGAGGCTGTATGGGCTTCCTGTGCCTAAACCCGCAGCCCCTGCCTCATCTTCTGGTGGAGGTTTTTGGCTTAGAGCCTGTGGCTGCTACACAGGAACTTAGCATCAGCCCTGGGGCTGGAGGCCAAGAGAGAAGAGCGGGGACTCTCGGCCCTGGGTAGAAATGCAACAGCTTTTGACGAGGGAAGGACGCTGGCACTTTCCACCCATCCGGTGAGTCCAAGAAACAAGAGGAGGGGAATCAAATCACGCTGGAGGGGGAGGGCGCCAAGGGCTGCCCAGGAAGGACTTGGTCTGAGGCTACGTGGTACCCCCGGGGCTCCCTTTCAGCCAGGCCAGGTGCAGCTGGAAGGGCCTTACTGACATCTCAGATCAGCTGTTCGGGCTTCCGGAGGCCTGGGCAGGGTGCCGGAGGGGTGCAGGAATAGGAATGGGGCTGCTGCCAAGCTGGACTGCTTTCCGCTGAATGGTGGCCCGGAACAGGAACAATGGTGAGGAAGGGATGCAGCTCCCACACTGCTTGGGAGGCTGAATTTGCTGGGAAATCAGAAGTAAGGGCAGGCAGGCTGAGCACCTGCTGGCTAGTGCTTTGGGGTCCTCGGAAGTCGCTGCTGGCAGGAGTGGGGGAGGAGGAGCATGAGTCCACTGAGCAGTCCCGGGTGGCTTACCCCTCCCCTAGCCAGGGAGGCTGTCAATCTCCCCCACCAAGATGGGCCTCCCAGAGGGTGATGCTCTTGGGAGGCAGGGGCTTACCACCCTTCAGGATCTCCTCCTGCCCCCTCCCTTCTTTGAACCAGTTGCCTTCCTTGGTTCTCTTCCCAGACTGACCAGAATATTGTACTTCTATTTTGACCCATCACTTGAACGCTTCAGGCCTTAGTTTCCCCATTTGCTAAATGGGGACAATAATAGAGTCTACTTCTCAGGGTTGTTTTGAGGATTAGATGAGAGCCCACAAGGAAAGCACACAGCATGGTACCTGGCACATAGTAGGCACTCAGGAAGTAGTTACTATAAACCTTAGGGAGAGTGGTTTCCCAAGTGCCGGGCAGGATAGCAGGAATATTGCTTTGCCTTTCACCTGACAGCATTTCTCAATGTTCAGTGTATGAAAGAACCACAGCGAGAATCTGATGCAATGCGGGTTCCCAGACGCCACCCTGAGTAATTCTGGTTCAGTGGGTCTGGCTGTCCTGGGAACCTGCTCTTGATCGCTGCCCCGTGGTGATTCTATCAGGCCAGTTCTGAGGCTGGTGGTCTCTGTTTCACTTTGACAACTGCTGATTGAGCGTCGCTTTTACATGAGCGGGTTCTGCAGTGAATGCTAAACACATTTGTCATCTGTGCAAAATGCCTGGCTCATGGCGACTTAATCTCTCGCTGACATAGAAGGCCGATAGAGGCAATCGGCGGCAACTTAGATTGGCAGCTGTTACGCAAATTGGAGGCCTGAAGAGCAATTTTCTGGCAATCTCAAGATTAGCTATTAATATGTATTAACAGACTGTAAAGGATTCATGGAATTTCACAGTAACTGAACTATGAATTGAGAGGTACCCAAAGAGGTCCATTTATTTCTTAATCAAGCAGCACGTTTCAACAATACCCCATTTCTCCATTCCAAAGGCATGCATGAGCCATGCTCTGGGCCTTTCGTTTCTGCATGTTGTATGCTTTCAGCGAGAGGAAGTCTGGTCTTCCCCCAAGAGGAGAGGTGCAGCTAGTTCTGCAGACGGGGCTCCAAAGCCCTCCTCCCATCCCTGCCTGGAAGACACCCTCTTTCTCTCCCCAGCAACCACCACCACCAAGCCTGGGGCCCCAACGGAGCCATTTCCACCACCTTTACCTGCACCCCTTTGCCTCAAGCTGCTCCATCCTTATCATAGTTCATGTCACTATGAACAATGTGAGCTCAACTCATGTCCCTCCCTCCAGGGCAGCTGGGATTAAGGCCCAGCTATCAGTGTCCCAGGCACTTGGTGCCCAATACTTGCAGAATTCAGAAAAGGGTGATTAGCTTTGTGGCAACACATTAACATCTTTGTAGAGTACTAAGAAGATTTCGTTTATCACTTCACTGCCTTTTTCCTCTTTCAAGAAGGACGGCCCATTTGTAATCACAGTGAAAGTGAAACAGGAAGACCATCGTGGAGTGCTAGGGGGACAAGCACATCTAAATCCATCAGCTGTTTACTGAGGAAGTTACACATCTCTGCGGCTTCTTAGGCCATGGCCAAGGACATGAAGATACAGATATCCAGGAACAGAGTCACACACGAAGGCAGGGACGTAGACTTGGGGCCCAGAGGTGAATAAGACACCCTCAATTGCATGACATCAAAGGTATTAATATTCTTCTGCCTGTAGAGCTTTCAAATGATTTTACATCTCAGAGTCCTTAGAATCCAGAACTTCAGAGTTACAAAATACCCTCTGATTTTCAGATGGCAAAACTGAGGCCCAGCGATGAGAGCTCACCCACCCATTCCCAGGAAGCAGCAGAGCAAATCCTGGAACCCAAGTATGTCTTTCTGTTGTCCTGCTGGACTGCAGAGCAAAAAGAGGGATTTTCTCCTTCTATCCACCCAGCAGCCCTTGTTGGAGGTGCAGGGATGGATTCCAGGGCAGAGCGAGGGGGCAGGGAGTGTCATCTGTGTGGTGCCATAACATTGCTGTGAAATAAAAAAAACATCTTTGCTACCTTCCATCAACCTCAGAGGAGTATTTTGGCAACACATATAGATTTACAATCAATGGAAATTATAAAACTAAAAAGACGTGAGTGACCCATTTTGTTATCCAGAATAGGGAACGTGGGATAGGTCCCCTTGGGCTGGCCTGATTTCAGAGCTCATTAAAGGAAAGTGAGGCAAGAACTGGGAAGTTTTTGCATTTTTTTTTTTTTAAAGGCTGGTGACCCTACTGAAACTAACTGGTAGAAACTAAATACATTGATTTCAGGATACAATTTTTACAGAAAATCAGTGTCTCCCTGATCTCATTCAATAAATACTGAACAAAAATGGAGAGTATTTGCTTTGAAGGAACAAAGGTTTACTCTCCCTAGGATGTCTGGGACTCTGCGGAGATGAGCAAGCTCGTCAGCACAGGCTGGAGATCAGACTCTGGAGTCAGACAGACCAACCTGGATGTAAAATTTGGCAAGGGCCCTGACCAGCCCCATGATCCGGGGTCAGTCAGATTCACTCTCCTGGCCTCAGTCTCCTCATCAGTAAAGTGAGGGCTGATGAGAGCACCAACCTCACTGGCTTTTATGAGGTTTAAAGGGATAAAGTCTGCAAAGAACTTAATGTGTCACTTGACCCACAGGTGCTCTTAATGGACAAGCAATTAATATTCACAGTTAAAAGTTTTTTTTCTCATGAAAAAAATAGACTTCTTTACTATGTGGCTGTTTCCATCAAGGGGCAGCAGAGCAGAGTGGTTCAGAATACAAGCTCTGCAGCCAGACAGCCTGGGCTTAAAATCTGGCTCTAGCACTGACTGGCTGTGGACCTTGGGCAAGTTACTTAATCTGAGACTCAGCATTCTCATCTGTAAAATGAGGATGACGATGCTACAGACCTCCTGTGGTTATAGATGATGGTGAGAATAGCTGACTGTATGCCTCTTGCACAGAAGAATACCCTGGCCAAGAGAAGTCACTCTACCTTCTAGAAATTCAGGCCAATGTGGTAATGAAAAGATGAGGACACCTTTCCCAACTAGAATTTTACCCTAAGCTGCTGACAAGGAGGGAGAGTGGCTGATGTCACTTTCCTTTCACTTTCTCTTCCTGCCCTGGTTGGAGCCCCAAAACTGATGAGTTCACGGTGTTCCAGGCAGAGAGGGAGAGAATGCTCAGGCCTGCTCTTGCCTGCACCCGCTGCCTGGGCTCCTCTGGCATGCACAGGCATTGGTTCCCAACCTCCCGCTGACAGCGTCTGCCACCTGCAGGTCCCACTTTGCCCTGGATGAGCTTTGGACTGGTCAGCTCGCCCCTCACCCCTGCCCAGCAGGCTGTCGACCTCCCGGCCCGATCCTCCATCTTCAGGAGCGACCCTGCAACCTGGTGGCAGCTCCATCCTTGGCCTGAATCAGTCCGATGACTGCCAGTCATGCAACCAGGCCTCAGCCTGCGGCGCTGGGGGAGCCCAGTTTGAAGCAAGATATGATTTCAGGGAGAAAGCACATATTCTAATAGGGATGAGGAACAGAAAATATGGCAATGCAGTGTGGCAGGTGGAGTGTAATTTAGTGGCCAAGAGAAGATGCTGGTGTCAGATTCTCAGATCTGGCACCTACTAGCTATGAGGTCTGGGCTTTCTCCTAAAGCCTGTATTTCCTCACTGTAAAATGGGCCAAACAGTACCCCCTGCTTCAAAGGTGGCTATAAAGTTCAGATGAGAGGAGGGAGTTGCATGCGCCCCTGCAGGTGAGCGCTCAGGAAATGCCTCATTGCATCATGGGGCGGGTGTGAGGATGAAGTCAGGAAGGCCAGACCAGGCCCTTGCCTGGGTGTGTGTTTAGTTCATGTTCCCTGCTTTCATTAAGCACAGGTGCCATGGACACATGGCACAGGAGTGCCGTTCCAGCTTGGGAGAGCAGGGAATGATTTTCCCAAGAAAGGAGTATTCATGCAAAGCCCACAGAGGAGAAGGAGTGAGCTGGCGCCGAAGGCCATCTAAGAGGGGATGGGGCAGGGGAACAGGGAGTGAGGCCTTGAGGAGACAGAGAGCAGGGCACCTCTGCGAACCTCGAAGCCGGTCGGGAAGGGGAAGGGCTGCATGGCTGTCCCTGCACAGGCTTTATGCCCAAAATGACAGGACAGGCCGGTCTGCTGAAGAGGGATGAGCCCGTGGGGCCTGGAAAGGCTGTAGCGTCCCCCAACCAGGGCCTTCCAGAAAGGAAGCATAGCAGACATAATCACACCGGTCCAGCAGGGCGGGACGCTGGGATCCTTTTTTATACACTAAGTGGCATTCTCTGAGCCAAAGCAAAGAACAGAAAGGTTCAAAAAAGCAAGTGGGGTCGGGGCCTGGGGGGTGGGTTTTCATGAACGAATCTGCTTCCTGTGGCAACGGATGCCTTCCAAGGGAGGCCCCTTGGCTTCAGGGAACAAAGGCCCCCAGTGACAGCTGGGGACAGGCCACCCAGCCTTCCCGGGGGACAGCCTCAGCCCTCCCTTTCTGCCTGGCTCATCTTTCACCTCCCCATGCCCAGCACATTCTTAGGCCAGGCCCTCCCTGCAAAACTGCCTGGTGGGGGATTCTCCCTCCTCTATTTCTGTTCTGTTCTTTTGAAAAACATCAAAACCACAGTCTCTCAAGAGGAGTCAGAAATACCTCCACTCTGTGTCTTCCTCCACCGCCCCGAGGAAGGCACTGGACAAAAGGGTCAATGTGAGATCTGGAATGAAACAGATCTAGAAGGTTCTAGATCAACTGATCATTCACTAACTAATCTATGACCCCAAGGTGGCCAGAGAAGGGAAAACTACAAACTCACCTGCAGGGCTCTGTGATGGGTCAGGCATCCCACCAAGCACTTGACAGTCACCATCTCAGTTAATCCTCACAATAATCCCAAAAGTGATATCCCCAACTTACAAATGAGTCAACTGAGGCTCAGAGGGCTTGAATGCATGTCCCAAGGCTCAGGCCTTGCAAGTGGTGAGGCCCAGGTTCCACCCTGGCTGTCCTGTTCTGAAGTTCATGTCTTTGGCCCCCAAGTCAGCCACCCCCACGATGACCTCCCGTGTGACTTCAGACATTCCCATGGGGGATGGCAAAGGCTGATCCACAGCCCAGATCTACGTGGCTTCTGGGTACAGGGAAGCCCCTTGGGCAATGATTATTGAACTCAATTCTTAGTCGGGAAGTTCTGATTAACTTCCTTTCCTTAAAGTTGTTATGGAGTTTTAAAATTCCCATAACTAATTGCTTAGGCAGAATATCCCATAAAGATCATCTATAAATTGTGTTAAAGGAAAATCACATTTTATTCTCAAAGATACTCCTGGTCTCAGTTGTATAAGTCACAGGGTGAGGTTTGGCCTTCTTGAGCCCTGAAGCCATATTTGGTTTCTATCAAGACTCACAGTGAAGATGCTTCAGGCAGTCAAAGGACGCATTTCTCCTAAGCTTTCAAAAATCAGATTTTCAGGGCAGTTTACACATGACTTCTAGTACACCTACAGCGCTGTGTGGGGGACTGAAAGGGACTCGAAGGAGTCTCTTTCACGGACACCTGGATGGAGTTCAGAACTGAACCACCTTCTCAAAGGGCTACTCTAAGACCCCCCACTCGACCAACTCTGGGCAAATCAGTTCACAGGCCAGACTCACAGAGGGCCAGGTGGGCTTCCCGAGGCGCACGTGCAGTGGGACCCAGCCCGCCAGCCCACCGCTGCATCTCTGAGGCTTTGCTACAGCTCAGTCAGCCTGGGGTGCTCTTCAAACTGGGCCAGAATCCAGGAGGGCAGGGCATTTTCTCTGAATGTTATAGGAACTTCTAACCAGAAACATCTGGAAATACATGGGACTCTGCCGGATGCCTCTGGGTAAATCTCCAGCTCAGCCAGGCCAGGCATTCTCTGTCCGAGCCTGTGAGCCACTGGTCTCTTTCTTATCATCACCCCTACAAAATGGCCCTCCCCCACCTTCCTTCTCGCTTCTCTTCTCTCTTCTTCCTTTCTTTTCCTTCCACGGAACAGGCCACACGCAGGGCAGTGAACGTCCTGTTCCTTCTGCATGGAATGCTCTTGCCCCAGACTCTGTAGGTGCACAGGGATGGCCATCTTGCAGGGGAACTTTGGGGAAGGGAGGATTTATAGCAGAGGTGAGAAGCACGCTCTCACCTTCCCATTGGACGTTCTCCATGGAATGTCCCACAAGAACCTCAATCTCGGAATGTCTGAGAGGGGTCACTGTCCTCTTCCTGTGTCCCATCTCAGGGAATAGCACCGCTGTCTGCTCAGGTTCCCTGCCAGGTACCTAGGCACCCACTTCCCACAGCCTGGCCACAACCCCCCATCCTGGCAACCCTGGTACCAACCACATCCCCTCGAGCCTGGACTGCTGCTGACAATCCCCTAGTTTCTGGGCTCCAAGCCTGGGTCCCTCCAGACCAAAACAGAGGCTGCGACCACGGCTCTAACTCCGCTGTTCTTGTGCTTTACACCCACGACGAGTCCCCACTGTCTTCCACGGAAAGTGCAGATGCCTGAGCGTGGCACACAGCGTCTGCATCCTGGCGCCTGCCAGCCCCTCAGGCTCTGTCTCTCAGCAGCCCTGCCCCATGCAGGGCACTGGACCCCTGTGATTTCTCCAGAAGCGCCGTGCTTTCTTGCACCTAAGGGACCTACCCAGGAGGGAGTCCCCTGCCCCCAAGTCTCTCTAGATTTGTTCACCCCTCTCTTCCTGCTAACTGTGGGGCTTTCAGACCTCACCATATTCCTCACTTCCTCTAAGATGATGTCTCTGGTGACCCAGCCCCGCCACCAGGCTTGGATCAGTCAGGTATCCCCTTTTCCTGGTGCTTCGCCAGTGATCTAGGCTCATCTCTCTTAGAGAGCATGGTATTATTTTTACCATTATTGCTGTTATCATTCATAGCACAGCCACCAGTACCACCAGAAGAGCTAATATACTTTGAGTTCCAGGTGCCAAGCATCGTACTGAGCTCTTATATAATCACATTTAGTTCTTCTATCACTCCTACAAGGTAGAGACATACTATATTCCTATTTTATACGTGAGGCACCTGAGGCCCAGAGAGGTGGTCATTTAAGTCACAAAGCTAGCCGGTGGTGGAGCCAGGATTTGAACCCAGGCAATTGGACTCTGCAGCTTACTCTCTTCTCACAACATAC